TAGACCTTAAATCAGGCTACTGGCAAGTTCCTATGGAATCAAATTCAAAGCAGTACACAGCTTTTTCAACACCAGATGGCGCTTTGTACCAGTTTACGGTTATGCCATTCGGGCTTAAAAACGCACCCGGAACTTTCCAACGACTTATTACCAATGAAGTTTTGTCAGGCTACCTTCACATATTTTGTAAAGTTTACTTAGATGACATAATCGTGTATTCCTCAAACATTACCGATCACCTAGAACACTTAAGGCTGGTTTTTGAACGCTTAAGAATCCATAATTTAAAAATATCACCAGATAAATGTCAATTTTGTACTCACGACTTAGACTACTTAGGTTACCATATTACGGGCAATAAAATTGTACCACAAGAAAAACACATTCTCTCCATTCAAAATTTTCCAACACCAAAAACAAAAAAACAATTTTCTGCTTTCTTAGGCACATGTAACTGGCTTAGAGAATACATTCCTGATATGTCCAAACTTACTGCCCCGCTAAATTCTCTTTTAAACAATGGCGTTCGCTTTGTCTGGACGACCTTGCACGAAAATTCTTTCCAACAATTAAAATATCAAGCTTCACAACCCTTACACTTGCATAGACCAGATTTTAGCAGACGATTTCACTTACAAACAGACGCATCCGCCTACGGTATGGGTGCTGTTTTATTTCAGTTAAATGAAAAAGACGAAAAACATATAATATCATATTCTAGTGCTAAGTTTTCACAATCTGAAGCCAGATATCACTGTAATGAACAGGAATGTCTTGCTGTAATCTGGGCTATCCGAAAATATAGACATTTTTTGGAAGGAAAACGTTTTAAACACATTACCGATTCGCGATGCTTACTTTGGTTAAAAAAGTATAAGGATACAAAAACAAAATTCACACGATGGTCACTTTTACTTGAAGAATACATATTTGACATAGAACATTGCCCTGGAAAAGAAAATAATCTTCCCGATTTCCTCAGTCGTAACCCAAATCCCGAAATCTTTGATGCAAAACAATTAAATAACGATAGACTTTTTCCTCCAATCCCTGAAAACCAAAATAATTATAATTCTACTGTAATAGACCCAGAATTGCCCACCGCCAATAATGTACAGTCCTTAGATTTGTATAACCAAATTGTTAGAGCTCAAAATAAATCTAAACCCTTTCAAGAAAAAATTGAAAAATGGAAGAAACTTAATGAAAAACAAGATAATCTTTCCAACCAAGAACAAAACTTTCATATAAATCACCTAGTTGAAAATAATCTGCTATATAGAAAACACCAAGACGTCAATAAACTGGTCATTCCAAGGACACATTATAAACATGTCATTTACATTCACCATGACATTTCAGACACAGCCCATCCTGGTAGAGATGAAACAATCCGGAAAATCCAAAGGAAATATTTCATAAAAAACATTTCAAAAGTAGTAGGTGAATATGTAAGAAATTGTTCCACCTGTGCAGCAGTAAAGAAGAGGCAAATTCAAAAAAATGCTCCCATGGAGGCTCACACTGCAGAATTTCCATTTGAGGTTCTTTCAATGGACATCTTAGGACCCTACAGCACCACATCCAAAGGAAAAAAGTATATTCTCTGTGTTGAAGACATTTTTACTAAATGGGTAGAAGCAAAAGCATATTCCGATGTAACAGGAAAAAAGGTTGCAGAGTTTTTGGAAAATGAAATTTTTTCAAGATATGGATGCCCTTCAAAAATAATAGCAGATAACGGTACCCAGTTTAGATCCAACAACATCCAACAAATGTGTGAAAAATTAAAAATAAAAATGGTATACAGCCCCATTTTTCACCAAAGGTCAAATCCAGTGGAGAGACGCAATCAAGAAATAAAGAAAATATTTAGAACCCTACAGCTTGACAATAAAAATGATTGGGACACGCTTCTACCACAATCATTAAAAGTTTTAAGATCCAGACAAAATGCAGCCACTGGTATGTCTCCATCAAAAGCACTCTTTGGATATGAGCCGGCACAGTCATCAGAATGGCAAGTTGACTCATACATCAGAGAAATGCAACAAGACGTTTCCTCACCAAGGCAAAACCGTAGGCAAACACTCATTCAAAATCAACAAAAATACCAAAAGAAATATGCTAACCCAGACAATACCCCGAAAATCACGTTCGAGGTTGACGATATGGTTATGGTTCGCGAAAACAGGCAAAGCAGAGAGTTGTTCGCTCCAGTTTGGTCAGGCCCACACAGGGTCCACTCAAAGAAAAGCCAGCTTGTTTACGAAATCGCAAGAGACGGAAAGCTCGTACTTATCCACATCGACGATCTACGACCTGCTCCAAAAGGAAATTCAACCCCCGATTTTGACACCGATTCTGACGAATCACCCAGCACATATGACCCATACACAAGTTCCTGTGAGCTCAGCAGCGACGATGACGGTCAATCCATTCCACAACCAATTTCAACCGATTTCGACCAATCAACTCCAAGCGACGTTCCACAACAAGGAAATAAACATCACCAAGACAGCGACGCCTCTAGACCAGGTTATACAACAAGAATTTTTGTAAATTCAAAATTCTCTCGTTCAGGTAGAAAAGTTGTACAAAAATCTTGCCCATGTTGTTAATACTGATCTCATTTTGCATTTTATCTTCTAACTTTTGCAATATCATATTGTGATAGATTAGTATTACTAGAGTTTAATTTGTTTCGTTTTATAAATTTATTTTTTTATGTTTGTACTATTTTTTAATAAAATGTAGCAGGATAATTCGCACATGTAAATCAGCTCTTCAAAACGGAAGGGTGTTGTAGTGCCTAATATGTTTAAATATTTCAAATACGACCCTGTTGTACTTTGTCGCGTCACCACGCCATCTACACAGAAAGTGATGAAGTGTGTACGTAATTTCCGTTAGAACCTTATGTTCTGTGGTTAGAACTGATTTAAAAGCATGTACGAGTTTGGCTTTGATTCTTGATAAGTTTATTGTTTTAATTATCAACCTCACCCAACAAAAACCACACAAATAAAACAATAACAGTAATTAAACTATTAGTCGCTGCAATCCAATAATTGAGTCCAAATACAATGCAAAGATTAGTCCCAAAGTAGGTTTATTTATCAAGTTTCACTTCTTAAAAATATAAACAAGTATATTTATCAAGTTTCACAAATATTAGTCCCAAAGTAACAGTAAAAATATAAATAAGTAGGTATATTTATCCTCATATATTACATGAAAATATCATGGTCTTAGTCATATCGCAGGGCATTTATTTTTTGTGGGCTTGTGTAATTAAACAAACAAATAAAATAAAATAAATGAATCTTGAGTACCTACATATTATGCAAAATCAAAAAATCAAAATTTTAAAATTCGGACTGATCAAAAACAAATAAGTCACATGCAATCTGGTCATAATCAAACATGTCCAATTTTAAAAGTTGATTTTTAAATTCTGAAAGTATTTTGATCACGAGGACTTGTTGGGGCGTGCCAAAAGCATATGGAAACACGCTTTATATTACAATAATTTAATGTACTTAATTTATTAGTATATTATAAATCAAGTTTGATAAACGCCATTTTATACACGAATTTAATTTAGGCACGAGCAAGCTTGCGAGCGAGTGCTTAAATTAATGAGTGTATAGAAAGGTTTATAAACGAGGTGCATACTATACTTTTTCTAGGACAAATACTTATTATTATCTTAAAATGATTTAAATCAAAAATTTGTATAGAGCGCCATATATAAAACAATAAGGGAGTCTGTCACCGTCAAATGTATAAACACAGATTATAAAGGTTATAAATCGAAATGTATTTCTTAAAAATTGACAGTTTTTCACAGTGAAAGTAAAGAAAATGTTTTATGAGCACTTTACAGTGGAGTCCGAGCCCGAATTTAAGTTATAGTTTACTGCCGGCGAAATTAAAAGGTCAGTACAATGTTCATATAATCTTTTCAAATATTGGCGTTAAGAAACAATTTAATACTTTTGTATTTTTGTATTGAGATAATAAAATAATTTTCACATTTAGTATTATTTTACAAGAAAGGCACTTTATTTTTATTAACTTAAAACTATCCGTGACTAAAAACCTGTTGCTAACTTCAGCCCGTGACTGAAGCGCCATAAAGCCACAACTTGTCAATGTGTATTTAAAATGTATTTACGATAATGGGCGTTTTAAAGGTGGGAGTATAAAAAAACAGTTTTGTTGCCTCTCAAAAATAGAGCTGTTTTGGTCGACATAAAAGTAAAGTAATTTGTCCATGCTTCATGAGCTAAAACTTGCTCTATACATTTATTTTTTAACCCTGAAAAAATGTCTCTTAACATTCCACCCTTTTTTAATAATTGGATAAAAATAACTAATTTTGATAGTGAAAAAGCAGCCACTAATAATTCTAGCCAACAACAATTTGTATTTGACATTTAAAAGTAAATTCCTATAGGAACATAGTTTTAAAAAGTTAAACATATTAACATATTGAACCATATAATTTGGAATTGACTTTATCTCAAAAACTGCTCTACTTTCATAACTTTTAAGAGTATTTTAGATTCAGCGGACAATTTTACATAGGAATTGACTATTAAATGTATGGGATAAAGATTGCTGTGGACCCAGATATTAGTAGATTCTTTTTAACTATGAAAACTAATCATTTTTGACTAATTTATTTTAAGGTCTAGGCGATAATTTTAATTTTTTTTTTAAATTTAATATAACTTGAACACTAGTGCTCATTTTTTTTTTGTATGCTCAAAATTTTTATTTTAAGTTAAATATCCCTTTTGCATTTTATTTTTTTTTATAAAACATGTTAAATTAATCTTTGCGTCAATTTTATTTTTCTACGTTTATCATATAAAAATAATTACCATTTTTTTTAATTGGGTGCAATTTTTTTTCAATAAAATTTGCACAGCCTTGATCAAATAATTGTTTACTTATATATATATAAATATTTCTGAAATGCATTTCTATTTAATTTAATTGATACATTGAATTTAAAATGTGTAAAATGCTGTTAATATGTAGTAGCATTGTGGGATATCTATATGCAGTTTATGCATTGCCACCTCGTATGTTATAATATAAAAATAGTTATAAGTAATTTTTTTATATATTTTAGCTTCATACTTAACCCCGTGTTCATTAAGTGACCCTAAATTTAATGAATGTGCTCTAAAAAGCGGCAAGGCAGGAATGACAATGATTATTCAAGGTATGTAATAAACAAAGCAACAAACAATACGTATCACCATACAATATAAATTACCATATAATTTTAAAAAGAAACAAAAAAACAATATTTTCTTTTTAATACACAAAGAAATATTATTTATAAATATAAATATATAATATAAATAATAAATAATATAAATTTAACTATAGTTAAATTGAAATTCAAAGAAAGTAAAGTTTTGGGTTACGTTAGTGCGTTGTTTGTATTTATTTATGAAGGACCTTATTTAAATAAAAATTAATAAATAAATTTTAGGTGATAAAAAATATAACTTACCTTCTTTAAATCCCTTTAAACTAGACTATGTGGAAACAGAAGCAGGTTTTATGAAAATAAAATTGTATAAACCCGAGTTACATGGAGCTACAAAAACTGAATTAAAAGAAGTATAGTAAGATTTTGACCTATGTCTTATTGTAAAATTACTTTTTATTGACATTTATTATTTTTAGTTATGACCCAAAAACAAAAAGAATGGGCTTATCTGTACTTTTTAATGAAGAATCGCTTGTTGGCAATTATGATATTTCGGGCAAAATTTTAATATTGCCTATAGAGGGAAATGGAGATCTTAATATTACAGTTTGTAAGAAATATTATTTTTTATTCTTTAAATAACAAACATTTTATGACATTATTAATTATTAATATTTTTAAGATAATGCAATATTTACTTACGAATTCGATTTAATAAAGGAAATGAAAAATGGAGTTGAATACGCTGGTCTCAAAAATGACAAGTTAGATATGAATCTTGATAAGATTTATATTAATTTGGATAATCTTTTTAATGGGGACAAATTATTAGGTACGTTTAAAACTAAATTGTCAAACTTTTAAGTTTATAGTATAGACTAATGGGTTTAATTTTAGGTGACAATATTAATAAATTCTTAAACGAAAATTGGAAGGATGCTCTTAATGAAGCTGGTGCTCCAATAATTGAAGTTCTAAAAAGTATATGTTTTAATGTTTTATCAACCTTATTTTTAAAAGTACCTTTTAATGAACTATTTTTGCCATAGGATAATAATTTGCGTGCAAAAAGGTGGTAACTAAGTAATAACATTTTATTAATAAATTCTAAGAATTTGTAATTAGCATTTTTCATTAAAATACAATGACAATTCCATTGGCGTACACTACCCAGTGACTGTATAGTTTATTATATACACAGTGTATAATACTCTTTCACGGAATATTTCTTTTTAATGTTTTAGAGTGTAAATATACTTCAGATTAATTTCTACCTTACCAATAGGCTTAGGCATGGGTAGAGACTGGAAGCGATAATTTTAGTTTAGGTCTTCTTGGCGAAATTGGTCGTTTCTCTTGGGCCATTACAGACTCAATCGATGGTATTGTAATGGTTCAGTACTTTAATACGTTTTACAAATTTATTTTCGAATAATTTTGGAATTTCTAAATTGTGTTGTAAAATGTAAAAAGCTTTGCAAAGGAGGTAAAAAGGGATACATAGGTAAAGAAATTATAAGTTTTTCGAACTTGGTATAAAAGTCTGGTGTCCAGATGATGCAAGAAGCGAGTAAAGGGAAGTAAAAAAAATAGGCAGAAAATGTTTGAACATGGTATCGAACGCATCGCTTTTATACATTTTTACTAAAACGAAATTTAATGTAAAGTTCTGTTTAAATAATTGTTACAAGTGTTTGTGTATTCTCCCTAGTTCTTAATTTTAGTACCCCAAATTATGTAGTAAAGTCCACTAAACGTACACAGAAAAACGCTTTGATATAGTCAATAACAATGCTATAATAAATTGTTTTTTCATTTTTCCAATAAAAGTTAAAGTTTATTTAATCAAATATGTTTGGAGCAATTGAGGGTAAGGGATTGATGTTATTACAAATATTATATTCAGTCCATAAGAAAATATTATCAAGTTAAAATTACTTGTTATAGAGTGAATGGCTCTTTAGATTTAAACCTAATGGAAATGTGTACTTCCTTGAAAATTTTAGAAATAATTGCATTGCATTGTTTATGATTTTTATTCCAATGGAAACTAAGGTAAAATAAGTTATTACTATCTTACAGTGAATACCAATGTTTTCACTGTCTTGAAAAATACTTGTTATTTGCCCAATTATCATTCCCATTTTTTCAATGCGGCGTATAACCAATTTAATAATTCCTAAAACTGCCAGACCACACATCAGCAACCTGCAATCGCTTTCGTGCATATAGTTAAATGTGATTAACTGATTAATCGGTATTTCTGGTGACGCCGATTGATGTAAGTGTATGAGTTATCTCTGGATGGGGTAGTGTTTGGTTGTTTGTTATATTTGCTAATTTCTTGGGGGTTGTACTTCTTAATCCCGAATTTTCAAGGTAGGTTGTACATGTTTTTTAGTTGTATGTCCGCTATGCATTATTATATTATAAATAATAACAAAAAGGTAAATGTGTACTCATATAGGTATTTTAACGGGTTTTTAGTGTTTAAACAGTAAATACAAATGAAAAATTGTTTTAAAATTAATTTATTCGAATTACCATTAGGCAACCAGGTTAACATGCAATTTATTTTTGTTGCGGACAATTATTACATGCAGTTAGGTATTGTAATTACGACTCGTTTGTTATTGTGGCATGGTAAACACGGCTTGGAGGTTATAAACAATGTTTATTTCCATAGTTATTAGAAATATCCAAAGTATATTAAGGCTTTGTTCCGTAATTTACTGCCATTGCTGTCAGTAATTTTACTGTCAGTAGCGGAAAAGGACCGTTCCGTAATTTATTCAGTACTGACGCACAGTGAAATTGGAACGCGCCTCAGTAGCAGCAGAAAGTGACAATGGTTACGCAAGGTTATGATTTGTGATTTACTCACAATTGACAAACTTTACTTTCGGCACAGCAGAGAACATAAATATAAAATAAATATAACAGTTATAAGAAATATAATGTTTGGTTTATGGCAGAGAAATATGGAAAATTTAATGTTATCGTCGTCCGCGTCGAAAAATATATAGGAATAGGAAATATAAAATTTCACTGACACCACAATAATAAGCCAAATTCCAAAAATTACTCTTAAATTCGTCCGCTGAATACAAATATATAACATTTTCTAGGTACTACCTATAGGTAGTACTATAGTAGGTAGTTTCATATTCTGAGTCTGCGTACTCCCCGCCGACCTGCCTTCGTCACTGCTGCTTGTACTTTTAAGTAATATTTTATCAATAAATATTGAAATAATAAGTCCTATAGGTATTCACCAAATACCATTACATGATATAATTTATATCCTTTACTTTATTTGACAGCTATTTTTTGTTTAAAAGTTTGGTTATGTGTTTTACTGGAGCCACAGCACCTCTCTGTCGCCAGTTGTTTCAGTAAAATTAATCTGCCGTACATTTATAAAAGGGTATTATTTACCACTGAGCTCAGTAACTGAGTGTATTTCGGAATGCGTTTTCAGTACCGACACTACTGACAGTAAATTACGGAACATAGCCTAAATAAACCGTTTTGGGAACCTCTGTTGAGCTGCAAAATACAGGAAAAAGCTATTAAGTATCATATTTAAGTAATTAATTATTAAAGTTAACTTACCATATTTAAGTTTTTTATAAATATTGGTCGGCCAATTAGATTTGATTAAGGGATTTTTGACAGAACTTCCGGTCAAGGAGGCCATTGTGATTTTTGGGTCGAAGCTTTTGGTAGCGTTGAAAGGGAGAACCAAATAATATGCTTTAGTTTCGACCATCGTTTAATAAAATTAACTAAATAAATCACCATTAATACTGATATTTCTCTTTTAGGCCTTCTTTACTTTCTGTTTGTATTATTCATTGTTTAGCAAGCCTAGTTGGGCATACATCTATCTATCATAGAACATTATCACTAAAACAGAAATAATCAATATTATTGGAGACCAAATTTGAGGTTGCAAGGGTCATTTGTGGAGAAATACTTACCAAGTCGTGTCCTGCTGCGCTGTGTCCTACTACGTTATGTCCTGCTGCACTGTGTCCTACTGCTTTGCTGTGTCTGTTTGTATGACCAGAGTTTTTGCTGTTGTCATATTGATGTGGACGAATCCCATCCAAGGCATTTAAACATTATCCATTCCTGTTTGGCTGGAACAAGAAATTTAGTCAAAACAAGTTAACCAACACCAGGTTTAGAATTTACAACATTTTACTTACTGTAAACCACTCACGTGAAAGGTATTAATTTTATTTTTTTATAAACTTAATTTTTTTGGTGTTGACAACACTTGTTCAATGAACAACAATGTTCATATTATTGTAATTGGGTAATTTTACTGCAGATTAACTTAATTGTTTTCTATTGAAAATAAAGAGAATACAGTTTTGTAAAACTAAATTCATTACATTTTTTATTGTTAAAAGAACCACTTTCCCAATTACCCCTCCTACCCTTGTCAAAAGGTTACTTTTGGCTGGCGCCCATTTTTAATTATTTACCATCTGTACCCTCACCCGCTCCCGATAAAGAGAGCTGCCGCGTATGTGAGCGAAAGTTAGTATTTTTTTTGTTACTTAAAATTGAACTTCACCACAGTATATACCATGGACACAGTTTATCTGGATATTCGGTGCCATGCCTTGAAATAGCTATTTTGCGAAAATGGACGAAGTTTTTATTTATTTATAAAAAAACTTCTCATAGTCTGTTAGTATCATCATGATATCTTTGCAGGGCGTCCTGAAAGTACCTATATATTGCTTTAAGACTCAGCAATCTTTAGGATTCGCCTCTAAATACATAAGATGAAATTCCTATTTCGTTTTAGAATAATCATGTGCCATGGCAGACAGATCCTGCACATCCAGTACAGTAACTGTTGCTAGTGATGGGTCAGCAACTTTCTTAGAGCCTAATATTACCAACACTTCTAGTGGGTTCCTAATAGTTTCTACAGAAAACCGAACAATTTCATTTTATGGATCGAAAAACCTGTATACACAAGACTACCAGAAGTAGTTTCCAGAATTCATTTTATTTAAAGTTAATATTAATGTATTATACAACTAATATTTGCACAAGAATACACATATTTAAAAGAAATACAGCTTAAATTGGATTTAATGTAGCCATTCATTAGAAACTATAACTTTATTTATGCCAATGATAGTTTTTCATTAAGATTCATTGTGGCTTCAATTAAATAACAATTTAATTCAATAAGTTTTTATGTTTTAACCAACAGTTTTTATATGGATTTAATACAATTACAATTTAATTCAATGACTTCTTATGTTTGAACTAATTTTAAGCAGGTTTGCACAAATAAAAGTAAGACAATCATTAATTTGATCATAGCTGTAATTCAGGTATTGCAAATACAGTATATCATTGTCTCAATAGTTAACCCATTCACAATATAAAAGCGACTTCTCTGTGTAGAACGATTCAGATTTAAGTAAACTGATCATTAGTTATTTTGCACTACTACGTTTAGCGAATTTTATCCGATACTAACACCTTTTAGCTATTTTTATAAAATATTTTTTGCTTTTAAGCTTAATGTTAAATGGAAAAATTTCTATTTCGTTATTTTATTGTTTAAGATTTAATTTAGTTGTACACTGTCCCTGTAATTCAAATGTCCCTAACACTATTATAAATTTATTTGTGATAATTTTAAAACCAATATAGGTGTGGTACGGGACGTTTCGTTACTCGAAAGGAAGTATTGACGGTTAATTTAAAACTGAATGCTCCTTTTTCTAGTAGATACTAAAATGCTTCACACCGTGAGGAATAACTGGTCACCTAGGTTCTCTAGGCGAAATCGCAACTTTTATCCCGGCCCTACATGTATTAGGCGGGTTGCCTCCAGTGCGGACCCCGTTACCCACAGGGCAACGTTAACGTCGACATATTATCAGTTAACTGCCCTGATAAACTAACAACGTTTTACCTATTTTTGAACCTGTAGGGGTTAGATAAAATAACGAGCGTCGCGTCATTACATTGATATGCATAAACTTTTAAGGAAACAATGCCTAATCGTGTAATCCTTTGCTACCTCATAGCCGAACAGGGTTTTTTCTCAAGCTCTTGGTCGTATCTCCCTAAAGCCG